ACCATTATCAAAAATAATATCGTTGGAAATTCAAGCGCCAATAACTGCTATTTAAAATTGAAGGCTATACCTTTCAGTTCAATGAGCTTGACGAGTTCCTCTAGTCTTCTCTTGTCAAGATGTGGTTGCCTCTATCGCAGAGTTGAAATCTCCTCTGAAACAAACATGAGATTGAGATAGTTCCATGAGGTGCCAATGCAAAGTCATCATCGTTTAATAGTGAATTAACAATAGGTGATGGTGACTCAGATAATTAACAAATAGGCAATGCACCGCCATTTTTTTTATTTTCTCAGATAATAAAAAAGCACTATGTTTTGTTGTTTTGTAAAAAAAAACGTGTTGGAGAGACATTTTTGGTTTTTAACTTTTTTACATCATCACTAATCCAATTGCAGAGAGGACCATAATAAAAAAATCAGTATAGTAATCGAGCCATTCAGTATCTGCCCTCAATTCAAATTTGAATCATAAACCATATGCAACCTTTGTTGAAATAGAGGAAAGCATGAATAAGAAAGCACAGAGAAGAAAATAATGAAACTTACAGTTGGCTAGGCATAACCACATAGCTGCACAAGGATGCATTTGCAGCAGACCATGGTGACCGTCGCCGCTGAAGACTGCCAAAACGACCTGGACAAGAGCATAAGCAGCAGAGCTACAAGGATGAGAATTACCAATACAAGCCTGACTCCATTAGTGATCATCTATTGAGTTCACAAAGTGGACATGCCAAAATCCCATGGTGACGGTGTGGGTGAGAGGAGCCAACCAGCCTCGGTCGACCACAGGCTAGGACAAAATCAAATGAGGGCCTTTGAGATGGTGAGGCTAAGAACAATGATCTTTCTGTTGTTCCTGCCAGCATACGAGCTACAATCAATTCCAATTTCAGATCACACAAGAAGTTCTAGAGAAGCTAAATAAATCAAACAAATATCCCAAGCCACTTATTCCATGAGATGTTCTAGAGAACCACATATTGACATTCTAATCTAGTGCAGCTTATATCCTTAATCATCAAGCATTTACAGCTAAAAAAACCTTGTATACTATCCCTATTCATGCAAATACCAACCAGATTGCTCCAAGGCCATCAAAAAAAAATCTTTTTTCCAATCAATAACATTAAATTATCATAGCTCACGAAGTTGGTTAGAATACAAATCTAATCGACGAAATAAAAAGTAAAAGGAGCTCCAAAAATGACTGTCAAACCCCAATTTGATCAGAAAGTAGCAGTAGCAGTGTCATCATCTGGCAAAACAGAGGTAGTAGTATCACAAAGAAATGAAGAACTAATGAAAGAGCTGCATACAAATAGTCTCAATTTGTATGAAGTTGGCTTCTGCAGATCAGACCTCATCTTACTCTGCAGGATGATCCATCTGTGCCATGGAAGACTAATAGACCAAGCATCACCTGGGAAAGTAAACAATTTTGTCACTTCAGGCAAAAAGAAAAACCAACTATCTTAGGGCCAACTCAGCAATAATTTATTCAGATCTGAACCATCCACTGACCCTTGCTCTAAATTAGTATATCCTTGAAAATGGAACATAAAAGGTAGATCTTAACTTTGCCTGCATACATGTCAAGCTGGCACTATATCTACATAATAATGATGCAAACAATCTGTCGCATAATTGATATGTGCATGTGAGAGCTAAACCAAACCTTTGATAAATCTATGACATGACAGAGACATGGCAAAGATCTGTTAATATAAAAGTAATTTCAGAACAAAAGCAGGCAAAGACCTTTTAGATAACAGAAGCAGTTTGAAATCACCAACCAAGGCAGATGGCGACTTGATGGCAGGTGGTGATTTGATTATGTGAGGGATGCACCTGTCGGGACGCAAACCAAGGTTTACAGGGGGCACCGCGGGGGAGCGAGCGAAGATTCCAGCGGCGGCGGCGTCTTGGCCGGGTCGGTGATGGACGATGACGGCGTAGATCGCGGATGGGCCGGGCAGTCGCACCGGTTGTGGATTCCGGCGGCTGCCCGACCCTGTGGTGGCGGCGCGGTTGTCGTGGATCCCAGCGGCACGGCCTTCATGGGTGTGATGGGCGCGACCGCTGTGGATGCAGCGGCTGCGGCGCGAGCACGACAGCGCAGTGCCGGGCGAGCGAGAGGGCGCGCCGGCAGGCGACCGGGCGAGCGTGGGGAGTGAGGGGATATGGGTAGCAGGAAGCGCTACCGCGGAGGAGCGATGGGAGCCGTGCACGGGGTGAAGTGAGGGTGGGATCGCATGCACAGGCAGACCGACGAAGCGCGCGCACCGCCGCGTCGGTGAGGGTCAGGGTGAGGACTACGGAGGAGAGGGATTGATATTTCCTTCTTGGAGCGCAGGGAGCAGGGCTCAGCCGCGGGCCGCGGATCCATCGCACGGGGGGTGCGGTGATTGCGGCTTTCCTTTAGAGCGATGCGACGATTCCGGCGCGGGCGGAGGCGGAGGTCGTAGGGGTTGGGTGACGGACGAACGAAAACAAACGTGGCGCCAAAAGATGTTCACGTTTTATTCTTTGACAACGTTATAAGTTTTGGTTATTGGAGATATACCATTACAATTCGACTAATTCAAACCATACCATTACAATTGTGCGATACTCGGACCAACGCCATGGGATACGCTCAACGACGTCTTAGGGCCACCTACAGGTGTATACACTACCTCACTATGTCTGTATAGACGTCCATGCCCTCGGGTCAATTGGATAAGGCCCACCAGGCACCGGCTACCCCTCTCCCTTTCCTCCTCGCCACGCTCTGTTCGTCCTCCTCGCCGCGCTCTGTTCGCCTCCTCCCTTCCCATCCGTTAGGGTTAGGTGCTGCAGCCGCCGGCTCCGCCGCTGTGCCCAGCCGCCGCTGCCGTTTGCCCATGGCCACCACGGCTTCCAGCTCATCACAACAGGGGAGGACTCTCCCTCTCGTGGACTGCCCCCAGTGCTTGGTGCCCGTCGTCAAGTGCAAGAGCTAGAACGACAACTTCTACTATAGGTGCTCAAATAGGTGTGGTAAATGGTGGTTTAAGGATGCATATGAGCTCTATTTGCGCAATAATCCTGCCAATCTGTTGGAGAGTTCTTTTGTTTCTGGGAACAATCCAGCTGGTGCAGTTCAAGTTGTCCAGCAGCCTGCCGCTACTACTGTTGGAGGGTTCGAGATGGTGGCACTTGATTTGAAGTTGCTGCTCAGTGACATCAAATTGGAGATTGGTAGCCTGAAGACTGAAGTGAAAGAACTGAAAGACGAGGTTAAGAAGGAAAAGAGTCCGATTGTCTTGGACAATGCAGCTGTTGTTTTCTTGGCAATATTTGTAATTGTCCTGGTGGCTATTGTATGGATCAAATGAATTCTCATGTAATGTAGCCTATGTTAGATAGTGTTAGCTTAGAATTTGGATAGCTTTTGTGCACTCTCATGATGAGTGGGTAATGTAAGCATTTGGTCTGTACTTGGAGCTATGTTTGTTTGCAATTTATGAACAAGTTTCTGCAGCATGTTTGTCGAAACTTAACACTGCAATAAATGAACAAGCAGCATGTTTGTCATCCTTGTGTTTGTCATGTGACATTGAACTAGTGCCATCCCAGGTTGGCCCAGCTCCACATCCACCTCCAATGGTCTCATAGTAACCAAAGGCGTCCCCAAAGGTCAAATTGTTCATGCAGCCCTGAGAGCAGGCACTAGTTCATAGCAATAACTGCGCTACAAGGATTCCAAAGCTAAGGAATTGGAAAGAAGGCATATGAGCACATCTCCTTTAATCAAGACCAACTATGAGATAACCAAGGAACCAAGACCAACTATGAGACAACATGAGCCATACATGGCTCAGAATTGCAAGTTTGGTCATGAAGCAGCATATCTCATGCAGATATTCCCACACATGAAGATGAGATCATCACATATTGAAACAAAGAAAAAACAACTTTGAAATACACTAGGAAGTTGGAGATCTATGAGATTGCATGAGCAAACCATTTCATTGGGCCTGGGCCATGGTCCCCCCAAAGTTCTAGGCCATGGTCCCCCCAAAGTTCCATCACTATACAACATACAGAGCCTTTTAAATTCTGATGATAACAGGATGAAAGCATCCAAGGCTATTATTCTGTACCAAAGAGATGAGCTGGACCAATTCAAATAAAAACTATAAGCTGGACACCCCATAAGCATAGTTGCATAGTTCACAGAAATATATTAGATAAGTTCACAGAAGTATTACCCAGGCCATCAGCATTCACTACATAGTGTTTCGAGGCCATTAACAGCATAGACTACCATTACAAGTTCATGTGCCCAAAATGATCAGAGGCACAGAGAAGTTTTTGTGCCCAAAAGCATTACATGACATTACAAGTTTTTTTTGCCAAAAGCATCAGAGAACATTTTGAGCCTTGTCAAGTAGACTATGGATCGAAGACAAGCTTTGTGATACTAGTCACAGCAGTGGGAGGTGGGTTTGCCTTTGCCCTTTTCAGCTTCTTCTTCACAGGTGTTTTTTTCTTGGCTGTGGTTGTCTTCTTTTTCTTCTTTTTGTTCACCTGTGGTTGTGAGGTACCTGCATCATCTTCTATGGTCCTCTTTCTGCAATGGTTCCTGCATGGACCTCTTTCACCATCTTGACCAACCTCTGGCTCTTTGCAGCTTTTTTGGAAGTGGCCAAGTCCTCCACATCTTTTGCATCTCACCTTTTTCTTGGTAGTCCTTTTCTCCATGCATCCTCTAATCCTTTGCACCTTTGGCCTCCCTGGTCCTCTACCCAATAATGGTTGGTGCACTTTGAACCCAAGATCAACTTCAGGCCACTGGGATCTATCAGGTATAGGTTCAACTCTTGCATCATAAGCTTTCTTGAATTTAGCCACTGAGTAGTACTCATGCACATAATCTTCTATTTTCATCCCTCTATTGGACAATATACAGGCCAAAGCATGTCTACAAGGCTTTCCGGTGACTTGCCACTCCCTGCAAGAACAATTGTGATTTTATAGGTCTACTGTTTCGCGCTTCTGGTTGTTCCATTGGTCCACAATGGTAACTTCAGCAATGTCATCATCACTTACAGATACTTTGAGGACCGTCAGGTGATTGCTAATCAGATTAAGTTCCTTAATAACATTAGGGAGAATCCTATCATGCCACTGTCTAGCCAGTTTCTTCCTCAAGTATCTCTTCTCCATTATCAACTCCCGCAACTTGTCTACTAGTTCATGCAGCAATAGACCCTTGAATTTCTTCACTTGTGCATTAAAACTCTCTGACACATTATTAGTCAAGGCATCACACTTGCTGTTTTCAGAAAAAGAACTCCTGTACCATAACCTACTATGGTGCGTGTCAAGATACTCAATTGTTCCAGGTGCAAAATCAAATATTTTCTTCATGTGCCATTTGAACATTCCTTTTGTGTAGCTCCTAGCTGCTGGGTATAGGTGATCAGTGAAAACATCACCTGTGTAGTGCTTCATGAAATTCTGGTAAAGGTGTCTCATGCATTCCCTATTTTCAGCATTTGGGAATACAGCTCCAACAGCCTTCTCCAAACCTTTACAAGCATCTGTACAAATAACAAGGTTTGGAACATCACCAATGGCTATGTGCAGCTGTTGCATGAACCATGTCCAGTTTTCCTCATTCTCAGTGTCAAAAATTGCATATGCAATGTGATACAACCAATTGTGCCCATCTATACCAGTTGCAGATGCCAACTGTCCTCTGTACTTACCATACAAACATGAAGCATCAATCCCTATAGATAGTCTGTATCCCTCTAGAAAGCCATCAATACATGGCTTAAGAGCTACAAAAATCCTCCTAAATCTCTGCTTGCCCTCAACCATCTCTACCTCTATCTGCACATGACTGCCAGGTGATGATTTGGCAATCTGAGCTGCCCAATTGAACAGAAGCTGAAAACTCTCCTCATATTTTCCATGGATCTGCTCTAGTGCTACCTTCATGCCAGACCATGCTTTGGAGTACTTGAGCTTGATACCATAGTCACCCTCTAATTTGTCCTTGCAATCTGTTGGAGTCTTAGTAGGATGCCTCTTCAACCAATCCCCTAACATTTCTGCAGCCCAGCCTTGGTTTGCCATTTTGGTTTCTTGGAGTTTAGTAGTAGCACATTTATGTTCTGCACATAGTGTTTTGATCTGCACACACAGACAGAAAATTGTTAAATTATAAGGTGGAAAACTGGTAACAAAATGAAAGAGATGTCATAACTATAATTCACCTCTATTGTCTTGCCATCAAAGATCCTTGAAGCATGTATACGCCAAGGACACCCTTCAGCTTTACACGTAGTAATAAACCTAGTCTTATCTGTAATGATTTTACCAAATTCAAACCCTTTCACCACTACATGATGTCTCACTGCCTTCCTAAATGCAACAATGTTAGGAAATCTTTCTCCCTTCTCTATCTTGGGGTTTTCAGGATCATAGATAACTTGAACCTCCTCTGGATCTGCATCATTTACCTCTGCCTCAAGAGGAACACCTCCTTCAGCAGCACCAACATCATCAAACTGATCAGCAACATGAACATAGTCATCATCAGCAGCAGTATGAGCATGGTTGTTACAAGGTTCTGCATTGTTAGCTGCCTGCACAGGCATGTACAGTCCTTCATCGTCAACACTGACATACTCCTCATCATTGTCAAACATGTCAGGTTCCCTGTCAGGCTCAGGCTCTAATGGATACTCATCATTATCAGAAGGCTGGGTTGGTGGAATGTCTTTGCTACTGGGGTTGCCGTGAATAGAAAACTCAGGTGGAATCACACATATTGGGTCTAGGTTTGTAAACTCATCAGACTGTCTAAGACAACTGTCAAACACAAGAACTTCACAGCGCATCTGATCCTTATACATTTCAAGCAAGTCATGCATCTGAAAATCATTTTCTATTCTCACATCTTCACATAGCCTTTTGTCAAAGAACCACACACTAGGAGACTGGCTACTGGACCACTGGAACTCATTGCGCAGGCTTGTCAACAGCAAATCGAAGGAAAATGAAGCTACTTCAACATCCCACTTAATCAAGCGTCCCTTTGTGTATGCTTTTCTACCAGTGCTGTTTTTGGTACAAAATCCTTCTACTTTCATCACTAGCGAGAACAACGAAACCCTAGCAACAAACAAAATCAACCCCAAATCCAATGAATCCCTATCAATAGCCTCAACGAAATCTACCGAGGACGAGCTCATTCACTATAGAGGGAAGAAAAAGAGGCAGAGGATAAATACCCGTCCTCGTCGTCCGCCATCTCCGCCGTGCCGCGCGGCTGCGTCTCACCCATTGCGCGCAATAGGGTGCATCGCAGCACGCACGCAAGCTGGGTGCTTCTGGTCGTCGGAGTCTATGCCACCGAAGACAGGGTCGCCACTGTCCTGCTCGCCACCGTCGTCGGGGTGAGGGTGAGTGAGAGGAGACAGAGCGTGAGGAGGAAGAGAGCAGTCAGCCTGGGTAGAATACGGAGGCACCTTATCCAATTGACCCGAGGGCATGGACGTCCATACGGAAATAGTGAGGTAGTGTACACACTTGCAGGTGGCCCCAAGACGTCGCTGAGCGTATCCCATGGCGTTGGTCCGAGTATCGCACAATTGTAATGGTATGATTTGAATTAGTCGAATTGTAATGGTATATCTCCAATAACCGAAAATTGTAATGTTGCCAATCCAAAAAACCCTTATTCTTTTTAGTTGTAAAAGATTATCAAGCATAGTAGATATGTTCATGTGTAGATTTGTTTCCTGCATGTCTACATTATTTGTTTCCTGCATGTCTAATCCTCTATTGTTTCTGTTATCAAAGTATAGTAGATTGATTATGTGTAGCGATGTGATATCCATGTCCAGTTTATGCTCGTGCGATGTGATTTTGCTACCTAACCAAGTTTACCCATTTATGTACATAATTTATATCGTTTTAAACTAAACCCGAAAGACCAAATATTCGAAGATGCATCAGCATCCAAAATTCCTTAACTTAAGCATTGTCAATTGCTTCACCCCTCGAACAATTCCAGCAGCTGAGACTCTATTTGCTCGATGCTGTACCTTGCAGACTTGGGCATCTTCTCTGAGTCACACTCCACATCTAAAGATATGATTTGGTGTGGCCACGGCGCGGCGTCAGGGTGGCCACGTCGTCTACTTTTCGCGGCCGTTCGATCGGCCGCGCGGACGGCCCAGATCGGGCGAGCCGCGGTCGTTTTACGAAAAACCCTTTTAAATTTTCGGAAATCAACCCGCGCTCCAGACGCCCTCTCAGAATTTTTTACAAAAAACGTCTCGTATTATTTCCAAATCAACGCTCAGTCCAGACCGGATGGGCACTGGTTTGTTTGCAAAAAAGACCTCCACTTTAGCGAAAATCAACTCGCGCTCCCCAGACACTCTCGCCGTTTTTTACGAAAACATCCTCTGATTTTTCTCAAATCGAAATACAGCCCAACTTTGATTATATCTTTTTTTCTTCCAAAAAAAAATACGTGTGGCCAGTGGACCGCGCGTATGGGCGCGCCCGAAAAACTAGTGCATTCGGTACAATGATGGGAGAACCTTGTGAGAGATTGCTTCGCGCAACTTGTGCCGCATCAGTGGATCAGCAACTTTCCAATGCTTGTGCGCACTGCAAGTCACCTCAAAAGCTGAAGTGAACTTGCATAACAACTGATGAGGCCACAATATTACCGAGAACCGGGTTTTCCTCTCAAGTGAGGACATAACCGGTGTCCAAGACACGTCCACATATGCACTGGTCGATTTGGTCATGGCACCGTAAGAACCAGCTTTCTCCTAGAATCAGTACCAACTCTGTATTCTTCTCGGCTGCCTCGAGCATGAAGCGGACATTGTTTAAAAGGAATATCTGCTCCTGCCCTTGTAGTTGCAAAGTCCTGGAATTCACGTTCAATATGAACTCCAAAGACCAGATCAGCCGTGTCACCAGTTCACCAAATGATTCTAGACCACCTCTAGCATTGGATGGATTGTCCTCTTATGTTGAACTAGCAATCGTATATGATCCATGACATGCTTCGTAAAACGATGGACACCAGTATCAGTGATGAACAAATATTGTGATCTGACAGTATTGTTTAGTTCATCAGATAATTTGGCAAACACATCTGACAATCTCTTGATAAGCTCTTCACCCTCTGCAACAACGAGCTCCTTAGTTTTCCCCGAAAGCAGTGATAAGATTGTTGGCAAACCATGATCCAGTGCTTGGTACACCATCACAACATCTACCATTTTGGATAGGTTACGTTCAGCTGCCCCATAACTGTTCTTGCATGACTGGTCAGTTGGTGGGTCCACCTGAAAACTGATAGAATTAGCTGAGTCAAGCAACTTCATGACATTTACCTTTGCAATTGCCAAGAAATATTCCTCCTTGATTTTATCGAAGGAACCAAAATCATGTGCATCCAATTGTCTTTGCATCTCATTCAGAAAACTAATGATAATGTGCACTGCAGATGTCCAGACTTTCAGTAGAATTTCTCTTGATTCTTCCAATTGATATCCAAAAATGTTGTCAATGTCAAGTATTTCAATGTACCTATTGGTTATAGGTGAAAACAAGGTTAATTGTCAGTATCAGACTCTTAGGAACATGGTATTACCGCTATCTATCGAATTTGGTATGGGCTCGTCTCAAGGAACCTGATTACGACTAATTAACATGGCCTTATCTATATATCATTATCATCTACAAGACAAAAACAATCTGCCTTTCGGTAGTAAATTGTTTGCTCCCATGTTAAGTTGGAATTCTCCCAACCTTCCTCGTCATTAGTTCTTGCTTCTCCAAACTAAATACTCACTGCACCCTCCAAACAACTCTGCCATGTCTGCTTCTACTCCGCGCACGACCAATCGCTCTTCTTGAAAGTGCAACTGCCGCACATGAAAGTTTTCTTAAGACAAAGTATATAAAAGATTGTCTGACCCTGACGGGAACACTTTAGGTGTAACAGAACCGACCAAATCATAAGAACGTAAGTACAAAAACAATCACCGAAGCGATCAAATTCCTATACTTAAGCTTCCATAATCCCAGTAGTCCGGAAATCACGAAGGATTTCAACCAACTCTCGACATACAAACCAAGATCGTAATGATTCAACACAACACATCATCCGTTACAACATTTCATAAGTAGCATTCGGATTACATCCATCAGAGTTCAAATAAAATATTACAAACCAAGTTTAAATGCGCAGAAGCAACATAGTTTAGTACATAACTTCATAGTTTCAAATACATTGCCAGATCAGAGTCATGTCCCACAAAAGTATTATCAGGTACGAGAACTAGTAGAGACCGCGCCCAACGACCTAGTCTTCATCCCTAGCTGGAAGAAGGCAGTACTTGCAGCAACCAAAGAAGAACTGGTCATCTGCAACAGGTGGGAGATAAACCCTGAGTACGAGAAGGTACTCAGCTAGACTTACCCGTCAAAACCAGAAATAAAAGACACCAATGATCATGCAAGGCTTTTCAGGTGGGCTAGCTTGACACAGTTGCATAAAAGAGCTTATGATTATAGTAACCAATTTAAACTTAGCATCAAGCTTATCACTAGTTACCTGTCCACTAGATTAGCACCTGTACTAGAGCACTCACTTATTAGGAGCAAACAATATTAACCATAGCAGGTATAATAAGGCTGTCATCATCATATCATCATTTCCGAATCATTAAGTTATTAAGTGTATCTATATTGGAGATAAGCCCGTCAAGTTCTCACTAACCAGGAGAGACGGCGACTCGAATCGAATTACAACTCAGCTGAGGGGGTATTCCTAACTCTCACCCTAGCATACTTTGCAAGGGTAGCCATGGGTCACCTTTGGGACAACTCAGAAACCAAATTCGCGGGTTCGATCAGCGCCAGCACTCTCAGGGATTACCCTTCTGCCAGGACGATCAGGACTTTTAAATCACCTGCCCTTGGACTCACGCCTACGGCTCCCTTCCGAGGCGCACTTTATACTTATCGACTCCCGACCTGAGGTGAGCTACTCGGCTTCGTGGTCGGTCTCCAGACCCGGCCAACTAAGAGAGAGGCATGCGTTCAATATGAACAGGAAAGGCTCCAAGAATCAGTCCTTAAGCGACACAGACGGAGTCACTGCAAACCGGCAAGCCTCCGTCCGGTCTTTATTTCAAATTAAGACTGGTTCTTTTCCACGATAGCAAATATAGCCAACCGTGCCACATGCATCTTCCTATATATTGCAGGTGACAGGAAATCACCCGACTTCTACCGCGTTTAAGCAGGGCTAAGCACTACTCGAGCCTGAGCTACATAGGATTCAGGGTAACAATATCTGGACAAGGATTGGGTAACCAATGCAGCAATGGTTTGCATCCAACACCTAAACTTAATGCAACAATATATATATGTAACAATAATACTGTAACTGCATTTCGGAAATTAGGAGGCTTAATATGCTCCGGGGCTTGCCTTTCACAAAGTTGCAAGGACGGTGGTCCGGGCACTCAACGGCGACCTTGTCCGGCACTTCTCCTGAAGGTTGCTCCTCCTGAATTTCCGGTGTCGACTGCTGCTGCTCGCTCGGTTCCTCGAATTCCAGTAGGGTTACTCCTTCCGGTACACCTATTGCATGCTGATGCAAAAGATAAATATCATGGATGCATAAGGAATGACATGATGCTCATGATGAATGAATCATAGTGAGTGTTTACGAAAGCATCACTGGACACTCATTTACCGAGTAATTAGCTCTATTCAAATCACTTTAAGCATGTATCTACTTAACTTAAAGAACAAGATCAACTTACCTAACTTGCATAACCTAAGATAAAGATGCTCATCTTCAGTTAAAGGCCTAACACCTAGAAACATTACCACAAACATAGAAATAGTAAAGGCATACATAATTCAACATTTAAAGTTTCATATGCACCCAAATAGTCCCTTAATTCAATCCCAACCAGAGTTCTACAAATCCAAATGACTTGTAAGAGGACATTCTGGAAAGCTTATGAAATTCTCTACAATTCATTTGTAAACATCAAAGCATGATTCTTAAGTTAACCAAATCAAATTCTCGTAAACCTAGAATCTGTCCCGCAATGACAGGGTTGCTAACTTAATTATTTAATGATGATGCAAAAGCCTAATTTGACCAAACCAAGTTTACCAACTTGTTTTTCATACCTAAGAAACATCATAAAGTATAGTGCCAACTTCTAAATAATTTATTTAATATCCTTTTCCAATTTATTTAGTTAATTAGGTGATTTAAGCAATATATAGTAAAACTATTCATAAAAATCTACAAAAATTACAGTAGCTATCTCATGCTGCACATAGACTACCATAAAAATTTCAAAGCCATTGGGCAAGTAAAACTTGCTGCATCTAAATTAACAGATGACATGTCTATTTCTAGCATAATTAGGAAACTTTATTAAAAAGTGTCAAGCAACAGATTTCCCATTTTTCCTAGAATCCTTATAGTATAAGAATAGCACTCACCAAATTTTACCTTTACTAGATCTATAGAAAAATTATGAAAATTCACACAAGATCCATCCATTAATAAAAAGAAATTCTATAACTTAAAAACTACACATGCACTAGCTCTGAAATTTTAACCAGAGCTTCTAATAAGCAATAATAGACTACCCACAAAATTTCATAATTTTTGGACCACAGAAACTCAAGATAAAATTCAAACAAGTTTGCATGCATCTAAAAACACATTTCAAAGTCCTATTTAATTCATCCAGAATTTCTAAAACATGTGCCCACATAATATTTTTATTAAATACTAGACATTATCATGAACTCAACAAAATTGGAACCATAGCATTTGGATCTACCAACTAGGAGATACATATTTTTGAATATCAACACAAATCTGTGAAATAATAAAGCAAAACAAATAAGAAAACAAAACTCAGCCACAGTTGGGCCGGCCCGAAGGAACAATGTTCCTTGAACACTGTGTTTGCATGCGCGCCCAAGATCTTGCTCAACCCAAGTTGGCTCCCGCATTGGCATCGGCGGCCCGACAAGCGTGGCCAGCGTGTCGGCCGAGACAGAGAGGAGGAGGAAAATAGGGCGGCGGCGTAGATTGTCGCCGGTGACATCTCCGGCGAACTCGACGGCACCGGCATGTTCCCCACACCCATGCGCATCTAGAGGACCCATCTATTGCAACGATTGCAGCGGCTAGAGGGGGTGGCGACGAGCACGGCGGCGCACTGCCGCGGCATGGCCGGCTCCGGCGAGGCTACGGCGCTGCTGCCCTAACGGTTGACACTACGAGCTTCGGTGGTGTTCACCGGACCTAGCGCAAGGCAGAGGAGGGGATGGGAGGATCACGGTGGCGGTTGTCCACGTGACGCAACGACGCCGGCGAGGACAGCCATGGCGGCGGCGGAAGAAAACGGACGATTGGCCCTTACCGAGGCTCGATTGACTCGATAGCACGGTGGATAAGGGAGAGGGGATCACGACGAGGCGACTGACGGACTGGGCAACCCGTTTTCGCGGTGGCGAGCGCGCACAACGGTGGCGACGCGCGGTCGGCAATGGCGGACGGCTGCGGTGGCTTGGCGCTGCGCGCGGAGAGGGCGAGAGGGAGAAATGGAGCGGTGAGCGCGTTCAGCAGGCGCTGGCCCTCTTCTGGAGCGCGGACGCGCGACGTGGTGACCTTGACAGCACATGAACGCCACGCGGCGAACGTTGCCTGAGCCGGTCGGCCATGACGGTCACTGACCGATTTCTGAAAATAGCGATTCAGGGTCATCGACGATGACTGACAGCACGTATTCGACGATCATTAACTCCTAATCCGTGGCGATCTAGACTATGCCATAGTTAACAAAGTTGCTCATCTATACGTGAACTACAACTCTTTCCACTGGAGCTCAAGCTGGTTTGGCTCGGTTAGGGAGATACAAGGTGACAAAGTTGGGTACATGAAACTGCAACACAGTTAAGGACTTAGAAAAATTCCTAAGTCTGAAATCAGCATGTACTTCAGACTTGTGGGCCATGTTTGAGCATGTTCTAGCCATTTTCATGAGTTGGTCATAAAACAACTTTTGTTCCTTGATAAATTAGCTACAACTTTGGTAAAGAGTGCACAGCCATGCAAAGTCTCTAGGTTGGACTTTTGAATCAGTCAAATGATGACACTCTAAGGGTCAATTCAAGTCAAACTTGTACTTGAGGGCATTTTGGTCATTTTGATCTACATGAACAATGTCCCAACAAGTAACCTAAGTATAGTTAAGGTGTAATAGACTATGATCAACCACTTTACAAAATTGTTATACCACTTCTACTGATCACATGTGATAAAGAAAGTAAAACAAGCAATTCATTCATATGTTGCAATGCAATGTTTCACATGTTTTAAGACTCTGTTGTCATTTTATAATTGCCACATTACTACCATATTGCCATGTTTCCAAGTATGAGAGTTTCATGTTACATTCACATGTTGCACTACTACCACTCTAAGCAATCAAGCATGAAACACATACAATTTAAAATGTTGCATATGTATGTTTCAATGATAATGACATGATGACATAGATAATGCACATGGTTATGAAATGACATGCAATTTAGTGGAAGCCTAAACACCTAGGGTGTTACATTAGGCCTTGTTCGGTTATCTTAGAATGGGCCTAGGAATCATTCCAACATGATCAAGCCTATACAAATTAACCACTACCGGAAACGTCAAATTTGTCGAGTGTTTTTATGTTTGCCGAGTGTATTCTCTCGGGCACTCGGCAAACAAGTTCTTTGCCGAGTGCTACGCTAAAAACACTCGGAAAAAAAAACTCGGTAAAGAGGAGGTTTACCGAGTGTAAAAAAAACACTCGGCAAAGAGGGGTTTTGCCGAGTGTTTTTTTGACACTCGGCAAAGAAATAAAATCTTTTTTCTGGGAAAGAAGGAGAAGAAAAGAATGATTTTTTTTTGCCGAATGCCCAGATCCAAGACACTCAGCAAAGCAAAAAAATCTTTTTTCTGGGAAAGAAGGAAAAGAAAAAAAATGATTTTTTTTTTGCCGAGTGCCCAGATCTAGGACACTCGGCAAAGGAAAAAAAAATCTTTTTTCTGAGAAAGAAGGAGAAGACAAAAAATGAAAAAACTTTGCCGAGTGCCTAGATCTAGGACACTCGGCAAAGAAAAAAAATCTTTTTTTAACTGGCCCCAGCGGACGCCCCTCCCGTCCCCCTTCTTCTTCCCCCATCGTCGTCCCTCCCCTCCCTCCCCTCCTCCCTTTTCGGCCCGGCGCGACCCTCCCCTCCATCTTCGGCGTCCCTCCCCTCCACCTTCTTCTTCCCCGACGGCGCCCTCCCTCCCCCTTCTTCTTCTCTTCATGCGCCCTCCCTCCCCTTCTACTTCCCCAGCGGCGCCTCCCCTTCTTCTTCTTCTCATGGCGCCCTCCCTCCCATTCTTCTTCCCCCGACGGCGCCCCTCCCCTCCCCCTTCTTCTTCCTCCCGCGGGCGCCCCTCCCCTCCCTCCTCCCCTGCCTCCTCCTCAGATCCGTCCGCCCGCGCCCTCTCTCTAGCGCCGCCGCGCCGCTCCCCTCCCTCCGGGGGCCCTTCACGGCCGCGCGCGAGGTAGCCCAGCCCCTCCCGTCTATGGCGCAGGGCGGCTCGGCCCCTCCCGGCGATGTGGAGCAGCAGCAGCAGCGGGTGGCGGTGCAGATCCACCCTCCTCCCCTCCCTCCATGGCTCCACCGGCGGGTGGCATCGCGGATCCGGTGGGATGGAGCCACCACGGCGCGGATCCGGCGGAGAGGTGTCCTCCGACGGCGGATCCGGTGGGTTGGATCCCGATGGCGGTGGATCCGTGGATCTAACGGTTAGGAGCCCTCCAGCGGCAGGCTCCACGACGGGGCGTGGTGGTTGTGGTGGTGGCCAGCGTCGGGGCGTGGCGGTGGTGGCCGGCGGCTGTGGTGGTGGTGCCGCCGGCGACTTGCTTTTTTTTTCCCGAAAAATATTTGCCGAGTGTTTTTTTTTGGACTCGGCATAGTCTTTGCCGAGTGCCCGACGATTGACACTTGGCAAAACAGCTTTTTGCCATTAAAACCTACGCCAAGTGTCGTTTGGTGAGTGTAACACTCGACAAACGCTGTAGTGAGTGTTTTTGGCAATCGGCAAAGCTCCTGTATCCGATAGTGAACTAACAATTTCAGCTCGGAATCTTTCCAGGAGACGGTTCCTGCACAACCCAACGAGGCCTTAATAGTAGATCTCGGATACTACCGTGAATATCTGCATCATCCATATCATTGCTTTACTTTTTTAAGGTTAATTTCCCCTTACTTCAGCTTTCCGAGTAGGTAGAAATATTAATTAGTTGAGGTTGCAAGAAATATATAGAACATCAAATTAAACTGGAGTGAGATCAAGCGACACCCACGCAGACATTAATTACCTTGCAAGTTGAGCGCAGTGTCGATCAAAAGCTCCTCGTAGAATATCTTCATATTCGCTCCCAATCATGACGCTCGCAATATCACGGACGATCGACAATGACCTACGGTCGACATAAATCATTCCAGCTGCGAACGTGCTGTGACTTTGGACCGACGGTTCTTCACCTAGGCCCCTGTGGTACGAGCCATAGCTCGCATCGCTTGTGCCGCCGCTGCCGGTGGTGAAGGACCCAGAGGACGAGGAGCTCATCATCCGGGCAGAGTCCTGGGAACCACTGCGGCTGCGCCTGGCGGAATCCCAGATGGAGGCGGGCGAGTGATCCCTCGCCGTAGCGTCGTCCAGCCTCCACACCTTGAGGTGGCAGAACTCGTCCGCGAGGCAGGACATGACCGTCTTGAGGAGGCTCTTCTTGCGCTGATCGATGTCCCCTGACGTGTCCAGCCGCTGCAGCCGCTTCGCAGCAGCGAGGAACCTGTCGAGGCGCTGCGTGTCCCTGTCCGGGAAGAACTCCCTGGCCTCGGTGTTCAGGCATATCGGGATGACGATGGATCTCTCGATGCTGTGAAGCTCACGCTCTAAGCGATCAACTTCCTCCCTGCTCACACACACACACACACACACACACACACACACACACACACACACACACACACACACACACACACACACACACACACACACATATATATATATATCCGTTTCTCCAAACTTGAGTGGTCACCGACGGTGAGGTACCTTGCGCGCGATGCCATCGATGGGCAGGACGAGTCACCGACGGTGAGGTACCGGGAAGAAGCTGGATAGCCTCCACCAACACAAGAGTCACCGGCGGCGGGGAGGTAGTACCGGCGAGAAGGATAGACCCCATGGACACGGCCCTCCATGTCGCTGTGGAACTGGGAGCCCGCGGTGTGGGCAAGCCGCCCTCCCCGGACGCGATCATCTCGGTGATTCTCCCCGCCATCCTCCTCGCCCTCGTGTGGTCGGAACAGCCCGCGACGCAGGCCCGATGTGGAACGGTGGCGCGGACCAAGACCGCCGTGCCCGTGGGCACGTTGCCACGGCTCTCTTGGCATGCCAAGCCTCTGGATCGATCCGGCCGATCAAAACTCTCTTGCTAATTTCAAAAACAGTGAGACATCTCTTGCTAGGAGCACCTAGTCTACCTACTAGACATTGTCTAGCTAGCTACATACAGGGCCGGCCCTGAGGGCGGGCGGACGGGGCAGTCGCCCTGGCCCCCCAATTCCCTGGGGCCCCATCCCAGGTATATATACCGTATATTGCGTGGTTAAGAGGCTAAGAGCTTTAAGCAGCGAATAGTTTCCGTCGTTGCTACCTGCAGGTATGCTGCCTCTCGCTGCAACTGCAACAACCTGATGATTCTCATGCGAGCTATTTTTGTGAAGTCGTTTGGTTACTGCAGATAAGCGCGGTGGGTCCTGATGGCTCCAACATATAATTTAGGCTCAGTTTTGAGCCCTTTTACAGTACTTGAAATTGCCTCGCGTTGCCTCCCATTGCCTCCATAAAATATTAATTATCATCGAAAAGGGTACGTTGGTCATTTCACGTGCCTATCACTACTCAGCCGCGCCCACTCCCCGATCCGCGCCCGACGCCGTCGTCCCGATCCGCGCCTGACTCGCCCTCGCGCCGGCCTGCCATCGCCCGCACTCCTGCTCTTACCCTAGCGACCGCTGCCCTGCTCTCTCCCTCCCTCTAGCCGCCGCCAGCGTCGCGACGGCGGCCCAACCGCGCCGCTGCCCCCACCCCCAGCGCGAGGGCCGCGGTGGTCGCCTCCGTCGCCGCCTTCCGCACTGCCCTGCTCTTACCCTAGCGACCGCTGCCCTGCTCTCTCCCTCCCTCTAGTCGCCGCCGGAGCCTCGTCGCGATCTTTGGCCCTTTGGGTGATGCTATTTTCTTCATGTATTGTGCTCACCGTAGTTGGATTTTGTTTCCTTTGTCCACAAGAGGAATTGCTATGGCTCACTTCCTTTGGTGCCCGTGCTGCAGCCAGGCAATAGAGAAGGCCAACCAGCAGATAGTCAATGCCATTGGTAAGCCGATTGTGCGGGGTCCCTGGTACAGTGCTTCCATTGCTGTGAATCATGTGAAGCATTCTGTCTCCTGCACTTTCCCGGTGTCGGGGCCCCAAGGAAATGGTCTTCTCAAGCTCAAGGCTATGCGCTTGGGAGGTGCGTGCTGCTAACTTCTTCACAAATCTATTCCTTATGAGTGAGTTGATTGGACTTGCTAGTATGCTAACATTTTTCTGGTGGCATGTTTATACTTGTAATAAGATATTCTTTCGAATATGTCTTTCAGTCTTTGTGCTATATTGCCGCAATGCATCGAAAAAACTGAACCAATAATTGATGGTTTTTAACATTTGGATGCAGAACGTTGAATATGACTTAGTTTTTGCATTGCATATAAAGTGTTGCAGTAGATGTGTTTGCATTAATGGAAAGGAAAACTATGATACTAATATACATCATTTGCTGACTTAGCCAATTGGTTGCATTTTTTTATACAGTTTTGTCATGCCTTGGGCATAGCAGGTATGTTAGTCCATATGCATGACAAATGCCCCAAAATATTACTGTAAAATCATTTGTCAAGCCACATTAATCCAATAAAATAGGTTGTATAACTGATGCTATTTGGGTGACTGAACAAGTCATGTCACAATTTTATCTTGATATTCTTCAAATTTATCTTGACCTTGAAACATATAAGGATGTGTACTAGTTTCATTTATTTGGGAAAAAAAATCCAAACCGATGTCTACACTAGTGGGTACAGCGTTACCACCTACCAGTGCCCACCTGATGGACCAGTTGTAAGTTGGCTGGTTACTTTTGGTTTCTGTAGCCATTCCTGATTGGTTTTTAAAATATTAGTGTTAGCTGTTGGCTACCCATGGTGATTAAAGTTCATGAAAGTTCTTATGTAGATGTAATGGTGATTATTTGCTATTTGTATATTCTGACTAATTGATTAAGTGCTTCATGTCATGTTCTTATTCTAGTAGGATGAAATCTTGTCGAAAGATTCATCCGTAGTTAGCTTTGGCCCTGTTTGAGAATGCTTATCCGAGAGTCGGTTTTAATCGATCGAAATTTTCTCGATAAGTCATGGTCTAATAAATCTGCAGTCTGAAAAATCTAGGTGTTTGGCAATCCTGATAGTTGTCGATAGATTCTCTATCATGAATGTAAAATGACTTATATGCCTCTAGGCTGGTAATAGATTATTTGTTGATTGATGAATGAGTGAAAGCAACTATGACAAAAAAATTAATTATTGTACCATATAATTTGGATAGAAGTTCAAATGAATAATGGATGAGTTGACATCGTTACCATATATGGGGTCCACTATAATACAATAAAAAATCAACCTTATCCCAACTGCGGTTCTCACCACCGATCTCCATGGTCGCAATGATGACGAGTTCTCACTTCTGTTCTTCTCCCCAAATGACAAATCACTCATTTTCTTTCTCATCCAAATCTGATTCTTGACAAAGAAAATTCCACCTAGATCAAACACACGATTACCACGCCTTCCTCCACCATGGTCTGCATTACGGGCGGGCGGCAGCTCCGATTTTCGGCGGCGACGACATCCAGGAAGGAGGTACAACTCTTGTAGACATCAGATTCCGCAGCTTCGTTGATCTCCTCAGCAGGTTTGTCAACGACGGAGCCACGTATTGGTCATAGAGGGATCTGGCCCCCCCTTGCCCCGTAAAAAAGAGAGGATATATGCTGCAGATATGCAAGTCCGCTAGCTAATTTAGCCCACCAGGTGATTGGCCACGTGCAAGTCTGCACTTGGGAGTTGGGACCTGGGCCTTGGCATCAGTCAACATGAGCAAAATAATCCACGGAGTGACCGAGACGGCGGAGGCGACGAGCCGATAGCCGAAGGTCGGAGCACCGGAGCTGTCGATGCCTCGAGCTGGAGTCCTTGGCGGCGGCAGCGGCGGCCTTCCTTGACTCGCTCGTCGGCGGCGGCATATAAACATAGGCTGCTGTTTTAGAACATGGCAGGCTGCTGAAATTTGAAACTTCAAGTGCAAAGTGAATTTCAATAATGAAAACCTGTGCATCCTAATGAAAGCTTCATTTTTCAGGAGGAAATGTCGGATGATGATTCTTTCTTTGGTATGCAAATGAAATTGTTATGAAGATGTTTGGCAGTGAGGACGATGGATTTGAGTTTTATAACAACTACGCTTATGAGAAAGGATTTAGTGTGAGAAAGGAATACTGCGAGTGGGACAACGGCCACAATGAGAGGACCCTTCGGAAGTTTGTTTGCAGCTGTGAAGGTTTCCGCGCAGAGAAGGAGGTGAGGAGGGAGATCAAGAAGCGGAGGCCGCGGAATATCACTCGTTGTGGATGCCGTGCTCAACTTGTGATTGCACAGGATCCAAACACAGAGCAATGGTATGTGAAGGATTTCATCGACGAGCACAACCATCCGATGACGGAACCAGACCTTGCTTGCTTTCTGCGTTCACATAGAAGAATCAGCGATGATCAGAAAGCAGAGATTGTGCAGTTGCAGATTTCTGGGATCCGCAAACACCAGATAATGGATATTATGGTTAGGCGGTACGGTGGGTATGATAAGGTTGGATTTACATCAAGGGACCTTTACAATTTCTTGCCATCGCAACAAGGCGGAGACACTTTCCGGTGGTGATGCTCGAACAATCATCAGTTACATGATAGAATCGAAACGTAGAGATCCTGATTTCTTTTTCCAGTACAAGACTGATGGGAGAGGGCACCTGACGAGACTGCTCTGGTGTGACTTTCAATGTCAGATGGATTATAGAGCGTTTGGTGATGTCGTCGTGTTTGATGGCACGTACAAAACGAATCGATACAACCTGACCCTTGTTCCTTTTGTTGGGGTGAATCACCATAAAAGCACGGTTCTTTTTGCCTGTGGAATTCTTTCTCACGAGGATACTGAGTCGTATGTGTGGCTGCTTAGGTCATTCTGTGATGCCATGATTCAGAAGCATCCGGTTTCTGTGATCACCGATGGAGACCGTGCTATGCAGAAAGCAATCAGTATTGTGTGGCCGAATTCATCGCATAGGCTATGCGTATGGCATATTGAGGTGTGCATTGCGCGTAATCTTCACACCCAGGATCTGAAGGATAAGGTTAGGGGTTTTCTGTATGATCGTTGCTCCATAGAAAAGATTGAGAGGAAATGGATAGCATTCTTGGCAAAGGAGAAAGTTACAGATAAGGACTCGTGGTTGTACCAGATGTATGAGATGAGGGAAATCTGGTGTGCGGCATATCATGCTGGTAAGTGCTACTTAGGACTGAGGAGCAACCAGCGTAGTGAGAGCCTACACTCTAGGATTCAGTTTAATCTAGATCGGAAAATGACACTGTTAGAGTTGATACAGCACGTTGACCACTGTCTTTCAAAGTTGCGCAGTAATGAAGCGTATCTGGACTTTCAAGCAAGTTCTAAGCCATGCTTACAACCATATGCTTCAACTATTGAGAAAGAGGCTGCGAATTTGTTCACACCAAGTGTTTATTTTGCTGATGTGCAGTACAGCGTAAAAGCAGCCGACAAGTGTTATTGGATTGAGACTGTAGATGGCTATGATATTGTTGAGTATATTGTTGGAAGGGTTGATAAAGGAGACAAACAATACTATGTGAAATGTGAGATATGCGTTGTTGAACGCAAGCTGAAGGAAATTTCTTGTTCTTGTCTAAAGTTACAGTCCCTTGGAACCCCATGCTCACACATCTTCTTTGTATTGGGTCGTCGAGGAGAACACAAGCTTCTAGACTGCTGTGTTTTGGAAAGGTGGACGAGGGGGGCCAAGCGTGGATTTCCTCCTATAAGGAAGAGCGCCATGTATGACTATTCCGATAGCCTACAGAGGTACCATGAGCTACACAATATCAGTCAAACGGCATCCTTCGTAGCATCTCAATCACTTGAAGCATATGGGCGGCTCAAACGCGTTCTTCATGAGGAAGCTGCTATGATCCCTCCAAATGGAGGAGAGAACGGAGGC